GAGGCTGCTCTTGATTTCTCAGGAAATCTTTGAAAAGGGGAAAGCCGAACAACTTTTTTCCTTTTTATTTCTTAATAAATTTCTCATAAACCAAATGCAGCTTATGGAAATTAGCCCTGAATTTTCACTTCCGCCCACAATTCAAATATCGCTTGATGCTTGGGATAAATTCTCCCCACCACACCAAAAAGAAAATAATAATGAGTAAAACGCATGCCCTCCAATTGTCAATTTTAAAGTACTATCAAGGCTTAAAATTTCGATACGGGGCGTATCGTATGGAATCTTTGAAAAATAGATATAGAATATATATGGAAATTAAATGTTTCATCTTTTTTTCATGTGTATCGGATCCGTATCGAGGTATATCGGTAGCATATCGACGAAAAAGATACGGCCAAAATCTAAAAATAAATGGCTTTAAAACTCCAAACTTCATTCGTAGAGTGCTAGATTTGCAAAAGTTTACAAAAAACAAGTGTGAATCGTTATTTTTTTAAGATTTTTCAAAATTTGAAAAAATAGGTAATTTTTTCAATTTTTTATAATATCTTGTGATTTCTTTTTTCTTGGATATATAAATTTATGTTGATCTACATTTCTTACATTCAAAATCACAATTTTTTTGTGTTATCAGTAGATTTATGGAAATGTAATTTTTCTTTGCCTATAAAGACTAAATATGTTTAAGATCTATAGATTTGTCTATAATATCCATAGAGAAATAAAATTAAAAATAATTAATAATTAATTATATTTTATCATTTGACCAAAACAACTGAATATGTTATAATTCTATGGATGATCTATCATATCCATAGACCAATTGAAATTTCTCCTTTAATAAATATTTTTTTATTTTTTATTTTTAGAATTAAAAATAATAATAAATTAATTATATTTTATTATTTGATCACAATGATTGAATATATTATAATTGTATGAATGATCTATCATATCCACAAAGCAATTGAAAATTCTTCTTTAATAACTATATTTTAAATATATTATATAATGTTTATTTATTTTTATAATTTTTGGAAATGAATAATAAATAATTATTAATTATATTTTCACATAGAAGTTGTGCCAATGCATGTTTTATGGTTGGAAAGGAGAGTTGGGTTTTTCTCATCCCATAAAACATTAAAACTTAAGAATTGTAATTTATAAATTACAGTTAAGCATAGGATTTTTAATGAAATTAAAGTAATTTAATGTATATACACCTCATTGAGGTCTTATATTTAGTGTTTTTGATGTATTTTTTGTGATTTATTAAAATATTTATAATGTTTCCAAGCGCATCTTTCCGTATCTTAGTTTTTCTCCGATACACATGTGTATCTAAGTCGTATCCCAATACGTCTCTTAAAATTGCTTTTCCGATAAACTTGGTGTTTCTGATACTTTGAACCTTGAGTATTACATCGTGAATACTTTTTTTATATATTTGAAAATGATTAAAGCACCTTCAAAATCAACAAGTTTGAGACATAATAAGTTACAAGTTCTTCCAACAAGATTGTATTAGATAAACAATATTATGGATAACAATATGTTAAAATTGCATAAGAATTTGTATCATCCTATATTTTATATTCTTATATAAAAGATATCTTTATATTTATTAGATGATGATGATATATTTGTATTTAGGGAAAATTCTCGATTAGTATCATGTACTTTGGGCCTAGTGCTACTTTGGTCCCCGAACTTTAAAACACGACAATTCAACCCCTGACCTTTCAAAACATCCCAATCTAGTATCTATTGCTAACCAGCTGTCAATTATGTGTATCACGTGATGACATCTACGAATTAAAATAATTAAAAATGTCAAATTATCCTTCGGAACATTGTTCATCATCTTCTTCCTCAAGAATTAAGATTGAACCAAAGGAATGGTGAACAACCCCAAACCCATTGGGAATCCATTAAATAAGACCAAGAATTCTGCAATCGCTTCTTTTCCTATGAAATAGAAGAAAAATGAAAAAGAAAAAAAATCCAAGAGCCCATTGGACTTATATCTAAATTTCTTGTGATGTGAATAGGATGGGTAGAATCATGGTCCTTTTGGCATGGAAGCAAGGATTGGTTGGAGGTAGAAGATGTGAAATCCTCAGTCACATTTAATCATAGAGAAGAAGCTCACCAACTGCATCACTAGATCGCCATTCCTCATAATAGGTCATTGTAATCTCATTCATAGTCATCTATAGTCGTAAATTGAAGAGGATAGAGGAGTCCTAGAGCATGTGTTCTTCTCCTCAGAGTTGCTATCCAATGACAAAATGCTTCTTGCATACATTTTGGCTGATAAATTGTATGAACCAAATAACGCAAGATATGGGGAAGAGACTACCGATGAAACCAGTAAAGTTCAAAGTACTCTAGAGATCAAACATTTGTGCAAATGATCAAGCAACAATGTGCAAGTGTCGGTTTATAAGAAAGAACACTTAAAAACTATTGAATCACTAGCTACATGCTAAAAGCTCATCAATTCTTCCACTATGTTGCTTTCGAACAACAATCTTATCAGTATTGAAAAAGATGTTTAAATTTTTATTTCATATGATTTTTGATGTATACAATTGTTTATATACAATTAGTAGCTCGACGGCTCAGTCTGGCCTGACCCGTTATTTTTCAAGCTTGGACATTTTTAGGCCCGTGGGCTCAAGCTCGAGCTTTCTCAAATAAGTCCAGCTCGATGGCTGGGGCGATCTCGAGCTCGGGCTTGCACATTTTCCATTGATAAAGAGGCCCGTGTTAATTATAAAACTATGATTTTTTACAAATTAAATTTTTATTTAATTCTAGTCTAGTATAAAAAAATATATAACATTTATATATATTAATATAAAATTTTTTATTTAAATATTATATAATAATATTTACCATATATGCATATAACTTCCAAGTTGAGCTTATTAGGGATTGTTTAACTTAGGCCCATTCCGCTAAAGCCATAATTGGACTCCAAAAATTTAATACCCAATTAGACTTTGAATATGATTATCCCTGATAATGTGTGGGTGTGATGCATACCTCAGGTAGACCTAACTCAAAAGAGAATAGTTTCTTGGGCTTGCAAGTTTATAGATCTAATCGGGTTAGGTAAAGTTATAAATGATTTATTACTTTTTATTATTAATTATTAAAATATTGTAATTATTAAATTACTGAATTTAATTAAGATATAGTAATTTCTGGAAATTATCATATTTTCAAAAACATTGCTAATTTCTTGGCTAAAACTAATTAAATGTAATTTTTGGTAATTAAATTTAATTTTCTACTATTTATAGCTTAAATTATAATTACTATTAATTATAGTTTAAAAATAATTATTGTTAATTATATTACTATTAATAATTAAAGTATATCATTTTTTCATTATTATTTAGTAATTTTTGCATATAAGTATTTTTTCAATAATTTTCAGTATTTTCAGCATTTATTTTTGCATATTAGTCACTACAAAATTAATTTGTATTTGCTTTTAGTAAAAATAAATTAAATTACTAAATTAATATCATAGTTAATAAAAATACAGCTAATTTTCAATTTTTTTTTTCAATAATTTGTGGCTTGGCTATTTTTTAATAATTTTTGGTATTTTTTAATAATAAAATACTATTAATTGTACTTTTTAATTATTTTCAATAAATACCCTTATTAATATAAAATATTGTTAATTTTCAGTATTTTTAATGAATTTATTATGCACAATAAAGGTCTTAACTCATAAAAATTATTAATTAAGTAAAAATGCATTACTACAAAGTTATCTAATAATAATATTAAAACTATCAATTAATATTTTTATATTTAAACTTCTTATTTTTAATTAATTTTTGGTATTTTTTCATTATTATTTAGTAATTTTTGTAATAAAATATTGTTAATAAAATGGGTTCTACATTTTAAAATTTCATTAATTTTTATCATTTTTAATGAGTTAATTATGAACAATAAAGGTCACAATTCATAAGTTATCTAATAATATTATTAAAACTATCAATTAATATTTTTATATTTAAATTTCTCATTTTTATTAGCATTTATTAAGTTTGATTTTTAAGTAGAAGTGAAACACATTTTTAGGATTTACTAAGTTTTGTTAATATTTATTTTTAGTGAAAGTTTAGTCGATTTTTAAATTAATAATTTTTTGATTGTTTAATCTCAACCTATTTATATTATTATTCTCTCTCTCTCTTAAGTGTAATAATAGCATATTTTAAAATAAGAGACCTTTAAAACCAAAGGTTCATCTCTAATAATGACAAATTTATTATTTTAATCAAAATAAGTAATGACTACTGTATTATATTTGTAAAATAAAAGAAAATAAAAATTGGATAAATAACTTCTTTCAAAAGAAAACATGCTGACATGATATATTATATGTAGTACACGTTATTTGAGAACCTTGTACTAAGTCGGATCAACTATTGTGAAAACCATTATGAAGTTGGCGGGCAGTCGTCGACTTCATACGTATAATAAAACATAGTTTAATTAAGTATCAATTGAAATTAATTACTTCAGTTGGCATGAACACTAGGTCCTGTCCGCACTCTTGATATTTTATATTTTAAAGGATTCGCCAATCTACCTTTGGATGGGTCCCAATCCCAAAGAGATATTAGGTATATGATAATTTGGGATAATCTAATGTATTTTAAGCCGTTTTATTTTATTTGATTTGGTCATTATTTTCTGCAGCTCTGATCTCTTTGGGGAAATTTTCTGCGCTGGTGCAAGTGATTAAATTGAGTTTCCTGTATTAATCTGTTGTGTTGTGACTGGTGATAACTCATAATTGGATCCCATCTACATCTAGTCAACTGGTGGGCCTTGGGACAACAGCCCAGGCCCCATCCACATCTCTAGGCTCTAGCTGGTGCAGAAGATTAACAGTTTAAATTGGTATCTTCGTATAGAGCTGAGACTCAAAGACTACTGCAAGTGACCGAAGGAATTAATGCAGAGCTAGCTACCAAATCATTCATGCAGGATGCAGCTCTCTTGAATTCTTCACTCTGCGGACGGAATACAAAGAGTTGCGCCCCGTTCATCAGAAAGCTCAGTCTCGTGCGGAAGAACCAGAACCTCTGTGCGTACTCAGTGTGCTTAATTGCAACGATCATGTTGCATGTAAAGCGTGGACGACCTCTATTTCTGGTTCTGCTCCTGTCTTTTGCTGCCTCTGAAGGTTCTAGCTTTACCTACAATGGCTTCCAAGGCGTTAACTTGAACCTGAGCGGCAGCGCGCAGATCACATCGGGTGGCGTCTTGAGGCTGACCAGCAGTACCAAACAAAACCTAGGCCATGCCTTCTACCCATTTTCACTCCACTTCAAGAACCCCGGACCGAAGCATGGGAATGTTGTCTCCTTTTCTACCGCTTTTGTATTTGCAATTGTTCCCCCGTACCCAGATATAAGTGGTCATGGAATGGCTTTCGTGATCGCACCTTCAAGAAATCTGTCGGTAGCTCAGTCAGGAGGCCAGTTTCTTGGCCTCTTCAACAACTCCAACAATGGTAATTCGAGCAACCACGTTGTAGCTATTGAGCTCGATACCGTCAAGAGCAATGACTTCTCTGATATCAACGACAACCATGTCGGTATTGATATTAACAGCTTGAATTCTTCTTTATCCGCGCCGGCCTATTTTCATACAGATCATAATGGAGGTCGTCAGAACCTAAGCCTTACAAGTGGAAATCCTATGCAACTCTGGATCGAATATTGTGGCGAGAAAAAGCAGATTGATGTGACATTAGCTCCGTTTAATGTAGATAAACCCGATATCCCGCTCCTATCCCTGAACTACGACCTTTCTCCGATCATGAAAGACCCCATGTACGTGGGCTTTTCCGCGTCAACAGGCTCTTCTTTTGCATCTCATTACGTGTTGGGATGGAGCTTTAATCTGAATGGACCAGCGAAAAACCTCACTCTCTCTCGACTTCCCAAGCTTCCTCGACCGAAAGAGAGATCGAAGTTTCTGACCATTGGGTTGCCGATTGTCATCGTAGTTTTTGTGTCGACCGTAGCCTTGGGAGTCCATTTTTTCGTGACAAGGAGGAGAAAGTTTGCAGAATTAGTTGAAGATTGGGAAATCGACTACGGGCCTCACAGATTTAAATATAAAGATCTGTACCTCGCCACCAAGGGGTTCGGGGACAAGGAACTTCTAGGTTGTGGCGGATTTGGCAGCGTCTATAAAGGTATACTAACCACCTCCAGAATAGAAATTGCAGTAAAGAGAATCTCCCACGACTCAAGACAGGGGATGAGAGAATTTGTGGCAGAGGTGGTTAGCATCGGTCGCATGCGGCACCGGAACTTGGTTCAGTTATTGGGCTATTGTCGACGTAAAGGAGAGCTCCTTCTGGTTTACGATTATATGCCCAATAGAAGTCTGGACAAGTTCATCTTCAACCAACCAACGTGCTTACTAAGCTGGAGTCAAAGATTTCGAATCATCAAGGGTGTAGCGTCTGGTCTGTTATACTTGCACGAAGAATGGGTGCAGGTGGTTGTTCACAGAGACGTCAAGTCCAGTAATGTATTATTAGATGGCGAGATGAATGGAAGATTGGGAGATTTTGGATTGGCAAAACTATACGATCATGGAAGCGATCCTCAAACTACCCACGTGGTGGGAACCGTGGGTTATATGGCACCGGAGCTGACTAGAACCAGCAAGGCTACACCGAGTACAGATGTGTTTGCCTTCGGAGCCTTCATGCTTGAAGTGGCTTGCGGGAGAAGGCCAATTGAGCCACGAGCGCAGGCTGCAGAGGATTTATTATTGGTGGATTGGGTGTTCTCGTGTTGGAGTAAAGGGACGATTCTTGATTCGGTGGATCCAAATTTGGGGGCTGAATATGTTGTTGAAGAGATGGAATTGGTATTGAAATTGGGCCTTATGTGCTCTCACTATAGTCCAGCAGTTAGGCCGAGCATGCGACAGGTGGTGCAGTTTTTGGGTGGAGATGCCCCTCTTCCGGACCCGTCGTCGTCGTCGTCGTTTGGTCGTCTAACATTTCGGCACGTCGGGGAAGCGTATGACGACTTTGTCATGTCGTATCCTTTTTCTCTGGATAAGACGTTCGCTGAAACACAAACATCAGCAGCAGACTCCGTCGTCTCCGCAGGTGGTTGATTTTACGTACAATATTATAGCTAAAATCAGCTATTCTTAATGGTGTTAGCGCTATGTTGTATTTAATTTGTTAGGAATTTTACTAGTTCAGTATGTTTGAGTGTGGTTACAGACTCAGTAGTGATCGTTGTAAACCAGAAAATAACTGAGACCAGTAATGGTCGAAATGCCGAATGGAAACTTTTGTTGTTAAGTGTTCTCAACGGTTTCGTGGCTATGTGGCTTGTCTCATGATCGAGCAGAGTAACAGCCTATCTCGGTTATGCTTCTCACTTCACCTGACATAAGCAAGTCAAAATTATTGTATTACTATTATATTATTTTCATTTTTTTTCTTTCTTTCTTTCTTTCTGTTTCTCTACTATCAATCATTTATCTTGTTCCTTGTATTTTATTGAAGGACGCTTTGGTCCAACACTTACGTAAACCATCCAATTAAATTGTGGCACGTTATCTTAATTAAAAAAAAAAGGGATTTGACGGCCGGCAAAGCTACCGGAGGGGTTGTCAGAGACGGGAGGCTATCATAGATCAACCAAACAAGTTCACTAATTGTCTTGCAAGGGTTAGTAGCATGATGCTTGCATGCATAGAAGAAAAAGATTTAACCTTCAAAATATAAAGAATTGGGTTGGGATTTTGACATTTAACGTCCGTTAGCAGTACTGCTAACGTTAAACTTGTATTACTTAAAAACTAATGATGTGCCACAATTTTATTGAATGTGGTCGACAGAAGGGTCCACCGAATAGAGATAACAGGATTGTGGACTCTCCCGTGGTTTTTCAAAGAAAGAAAATGACAAAATTTTATTAATTTAACTTCATCAGCTTTAGTGAAGTATTCTGATTGAATTAAACCACACATGCTACCAGCGTTCAAAATTTAACAGGATGGATTCATTTATTTAATAAAGTGATTACACCTTTACATTTTGTTTATGGTGAAATTCAACGACAGAGTCCGTGGTTTGAAGTTTTCAGTTCACTCAATTAAATTTTATAGGTGGATAAAAATGATTTATTAATCTGATTTGGATGGGCGAACGACTGTAGCTATGGCTTTCGATCGATCAGTCCACCAAACATTAGAAGAGAGAGAGAGAGATAGATTTTCGAAGAAAGGAAACGGATATATATGGCAAGTGGGAAGTGAAAATTGGTGTTGCATCACATGTATATGGGCTGTTTTCGTCAATGGCAATGGGTATTTGGAAAAACGATACAACAGCTTCCTTCTTTGAAACTTGCATCAATGGGAACGAGAATACAAATGGGAGAAAGGTGGCTAGTCTAAGGAGATGATGTGATTGACATTCATATACGAGAGAAAAGTTAATGTAAGAAGGTATCCACCCTATAAATTTTAGCATAATTTGTTTAATTGGAACGATGACGGGTGGGGGAACGAATCAAAATTATTTAAGCGGTTAGTGAAAGATAAAAAGGTGGGTTTAAAAATGTATTTTTTTTTGTATTTGTAATCTGAATTCAAATACTATTTGGAAAGTTTGTTTGTGTTGGAAAGTGTTTTTTTATTTTTCATAGGCTCCGAATTCATAAGTTTGTTTGTGTTGGATCAACCCTTTATCATCTGAAATTTACTATTTTACCCCTATAACATACTATTTGGAAATATTGAGTTAAATTTGCATTACCTCATAAAAATATTTTTCAACCTCAAAATAATATTGAAACAATACAAATAAAAATAATAAATTAATAATTAATAATTTACACATAAAATTTAATGAAATAATTAAAAATTACTATCTAATAAAAATAATTAATAAATAATAAATAACACAAGTAAAATTAATAAAAGTAATTAATGTTAAATAAAAATATTAAAATAATTAATAATTAGTAAACTAATTTATAATTAATAATAATTACAATTATAATTATAATTATAATTATTAATTATTATTATTATTTTAATATTATTACTCACCCAACTGTCGCTGCTGCAAGTTGCAACGACAGTGGCGATGGCGGAAAGATAAGGGAATCGAGAGAGAGAACCTCCGCTGCAAACCCCCATCTCTGGCCTCCCTATCTTTCTCTCTTCCTTCTTCTTTCCTCTGTATTCTTTTTTTTTTCTCTCTCTCTTCTTCATCTTCTCAGACTCACCAGAATACACTGTTCGACATTATGCACTCACCCCTTCCTAGCAACAACGGCGATGAATTAGCAGTAGGTCTCCGTCCGTTCTCTCTCTCTTTCCTCTTCTTCTTCCTCCCAACATTTTCCTCCTTCTCCTCATGTTTTTCATCACCGACACTGCAAGTGTTGTAGCAGCAGATTCGAACTCGACAGTGGCTACCCATCTTCTCCAGGCCATTTCTCTCTTCCTTTCTCGCCAACATCTCTCTCTAACTCTTTCTTCCTCATCTTCTCCTCCTCCTTCTTCCTTAACAGCCTGCCCATCCCTCTCTTCCACTCTCTCCCTCTTCTGTTTACCCATCAGATCTCTCTCTCCCTTCCACCTCTCTCTTCTCCCTGTTTTCGTTTGCCCATCAGATTCCGCTACAGTTGCAATGCCCCAAAGTAGGTCGCAGACCCCTTGTTCTATGTCTTCTCTGCCAGCTAGGTAGACTCGAACAACAACGACCATTTGTCGGTATTCGTTTCTCAGTTTTAAACCGGAATCCCATCGGAAAGCCGACATCAAACACGGGGCATCCTCTTCTTAGTTCAGGTGCCGAGACTCGCACAAGAATCTTCTCACCAGTGGTGGGAAGCAGGAAGATAGGGAGAGAGTAGCTGCTACAAGTTGCAATGGTAGTGGCGAGAAGACTGGGGAAGAGAGAGAGAGAGAGAGCAAGAGAGAGAGAGAGAGACATTCTTCCTCCCTGAGAAAACACGAAAATGATTAGTTTTTTGGATTTGGGGTAATCAAGGGTAGCGCGCGTCATTTCCAAAAAATTAGAAGGGTAGATTCGACTATGCATGAGCTCTGAAATGTGTCTGAGCATGTTAAGAACTGGCCAAGGTCTACAGTTTTCAGATCGGAAAATGAAATTCAGATCAAGTTTAAGAGGAGAAACCAAACAAGTGTGAGGATTTGAAAAGCAATGTTTTCAGATTGAAACATCTGAAAAGTGCAATCAAATGCCCTCAAAGTGTTGGTAAATAAAACCAAACACTAAATTTTTCTAAGGTAAACTGAACTTTAAATTTTTCTAAAATATATTAAACTAAACACTAGTTAATGTAAATACTAAAAAAATAGTTGACGTAATGTTTTGTTTTGTTTTTTAATATAGAAGAATGGAGATATTTCTAATGCACAACTGCAAGAGAATGTGAGGACCATGCGAGGATAGTTTTGATCTGAGTCCTCGCATGAAGTGCAATCTCCCCACAAAACTAGTATGATATAACAAGAATTAGATTTGGTCCTCACACTGTCCTCACAGCCCTTTGCATAGTCATTTCATTGGGAATATCTCCTTAATTTGAGTAAAAAGATACAAGTACGGAGATATCCCCAATGCACGGCTGCAAATGGCTGTGAGGATAGTGTGAAAAAAAATTTGTGAGGACTGAATCCAAATTCGGTTTAACAAGGGTCTATGATATAACCAAAGTTTTGAAGTTTGAAAATTTTGGCAATTTCAAACCAATGATTTGAAATGAACATTTTTAAAATTTGAGAAATTTTAAGAAATTTTACATTTTGGGTTTCTATTATTTTCATTTTTTAGTACTATATGTCTATATCCAATATTTTGGAGAAGAAATTGGTTAAGATTTTAAAATTTAGTGGTGTGTTATATTTAGATGCAAAATGTCCGCAACAAGATTAGAAGAATTGGTGGTGAAAAAACAATAACACATGAAACATCAAATGAATGTTTCTTGCAATGGGCATGATAGGTAAAAATGTTTTAGGTGATGTAGCTCTGACTTGGATGAGTTGAGAGATTGATATGGTGATGCAAAATTTATCGGAAAAATAGAATAAAATTTTGATAAACTATATTTTAGAGAAAAAAATATGAAAAATTACAAATAGGTACCCTATACTTTGTGAATAGCTTGAATGTTCAAATGTGACACTTGAATACCCTGAACTCCTGGAAATAGACACTTTGGTCCAGTGTCATTGACCAAACGTTATAATGTGTGACAAAACTACTGAAACGCCCATATATATTTTGAGTTAATGTAAAACAAAATTTTAAAATGACCAAAACAACCCTATTTAAATGACCCATTTCTCTTACCTGAGAATGACCGGAGAACAATCAAACTTGATGATAAAACCTAAGAATCAATATCTCAAAACTACAATTTCATAGAGGAGAAAGGACAATACGGTTTTAAAATAAGAAAAAAACAAACCTGAGAATGAAGCCCCCCTTCCCTTTCTTTCTTGATTAATCCATATTTTCTATAGTTCAGGCTTGAGAAAGAAATCTAAGAAGAAAATTAAGGATTTCAAAATAAACCAGAGTGTTTTTATGGGAATTCAGGGTACTCAAGTGTTGCATTTGAAGGTTCAGAGTAGCAATTTGTCATTACTCCCAAAGTACAGAGTAGTCAAGCATTGTATTTTGAAATGGTCTAAACAAACAGAAAATGGTAGTTTTGGAAATTTGAAATGTTTAAAGCTGCATATGATTTATTGAAAACTTATTGGAATTGATACACTTAAGAGTGATACACTAGCTGAAATCCTTGGGCTTATTTTTAGATTTCTCCTTTGATGACTTGCTGAGAAATTGGAAGAACATAGTTAACTCTGCTAAGGTCTAAAGGATTTCTGAACCCTCTTGAACCCCTCCTCCCATTGGGTTCATAAAACTGAACTTTGATGATAGCAGCTTTAGGAACCCATGGTTGTCTTGTATTGGAGTTTTCAGGAATGATGAGAGACTTATTCTAGCCATGTTCTTAGGTCCTATTGGGGAAGGAGACTCTCTTAGGCTGAGATCCTTGCAGTCCTGGAAGGTGCCCAAAGAGCAAGGGAGTTGAACATCAAAAGACTGGTTATTGAAGGTGACTTGAATGTGGTAGTGAGGTGGCTTAGGGAAGACAGCTCTGGTATATAGAATTACAACAATGAAAAGAACAATTTGCTGCATTTGGAATTAGTGTAAAATGTTATCAGTGTAAAAATACATCGCGAAAGTGACAGTTGCTTTTTGAAAAACGTGATGGGTGGAAGAGTTTAAAGTTTTACATCAAAAAAATTGGTGTGGTATTCACATCGATTATCAATTTAAAACTTTATGCTTGATGAGGTTTTATATCATTTC